GTTTTTCCAAGACACTGTATTTCTTTTATTGGGAGCCAATGTTAGCATGAGCTCTTCATTGCACGTGCTCACTGTCACTGGGCTGCACTTAGGTTTTTTCCCTTTCCTTCCTTTTTTTTTAGTGGAAAGAGTCAGAAGACAGGTATGCTTTTAGAAAGAGAATATATTGTCTGTTCTTACTTTTTCCTTGATTTTATACCCATTTTTTTTCTGATAAAAAACATAGTTGCCAAGGTTAGTAACAGTTATTTTTTTAATTACAAATAATACTAATGATACTAATGAGACTTCTGAATGAAGGTTAGATTTTTTTTTGTAACCTCTTTTTGCCCTGAAGCTCCATATCCCACTTGTGAAAATTCTGTGTTTTAGTCAAATCAAATAACTCTGCAGTTACTCCACCTTTGATACACATTTGTCTGACTGCCCCCTTCCCCTGATTCTGGTGATAGGTCTTGAGGCAGGAGGATCACCTGAACTCAGAAATTCAAGATCAGCCTGGCAATATAGCCAGAGTCTGTCTCTACATAAAGTGTTTTCGTAGTCCAGAAAGCTGGAAAGGGGAACACCCAGAGATGTCCAGTTTCTCCATCTGGTCCCTTTTGCTCCTCCACTGCCCATTTGCAACCTTCCTCCATTTGAAAGTTTTTTATGTATCCTGTGTTTTTAAAAGTATGAACATACATAGACAATTTTTAACCCCTCTCATTCCTTTTTATAAAAAAGGGACTTGGTAAATATATTCTGCACTTTTTAAATTAGTGAAAATCAGCCCTCAGCCCTTTTCATGGCAGCGCTCCACTGTGTATGAGCCACGGAACTCAGTTCTGCCCGTGGACACTTAGTTACCTTCGCTTCTTGCTGTTTATAAACAGCGGCAAGGAAAAGCCTGTGTATGTGGTGTTTTCTTAAGGATCATTGAGCAGGGTAGCAACCTAATCAGTTGTTACTGGCTGGTGATAAGATCTGACTGGGAAAGTCTTAGAGGTGGGAGCAAGGATACTAGGGATAGGCTTGCAGCAGGCAGCTTGAGCCTTGTCTCTATACTGACCACTTCACTAGGGGAGATGTGCCTGGGTTTGGGGTGGATGAAGGCTAAGAAGTAGCCTCAGCATCCTTCCTGCCTCGGAGGGAAGTTGACAGGACCAGACCCCTTCCTGGGAACTGCATTTCTCTTTCCTGGGGGGGGGGTGTCTCAGGGACTGCCTCCTGTGGGGAGCGGCTCACGGTGCTTGGGTCCTCTCCCCACTCTCAGGGTGACCCGTCTGGCATCAGAGAAGCGCGAGCTGGAGGTGCAGCTGAGTCGCTCCCGAGAGGAGGCGCTGGCTGGGCGGGCTGCTCGCCAGGAGGCCGAGGCACTGCGCGGGCTGGTGCGGGGTCTGGAGCTGGAGCTTCGGCAGGAGCGTGGCCTCGGGGGCAGGGCTGCGAGTCGTCGCAGCCAGGATTGCCGCCGCCTGGCCAAGGAGGTGAGGGGGCAGAGCCGGGGAGGGGGTGCCTCCCTGGACTTTGGCCTGGTCTGGACTTCGGCGTTTTCCTCTCCGCTCACTCCGCAGCTCGAGGAGGTGAAGGCCTCGGAGCGCAGCCTGAGAGCTCGGCTGAAGACGCTCAACACTGAGCTGGCCATGTACAGAAGGGGGTGAGAGGTGGAGCTGATGGGGTGTGTGTGTGGGAAGCTCAGAAATGGGGGGAGTCAGGTAAGGTGATTTTGGGGGAGATGGGCGGGGCCTGGAGGTAGGTTTGGGTGTGGGGTGGAGCCTGAGGGCCTGTTGATCCCAGTGGGAGGAAACAGGGAGGTGTCTGCTGTCCTCGCTTGGCGAGGGAGACTTAGAAAGAAGACCTCAGGGTGTAGCGAGGTATTAGGATGTAAGGAAGTGGCAGGTCCTGGAAAAGGACTTGGAGAAGGTGGGGTGTATGAAGGTGTGGTGATCCCGGGTGGGAATGTTTGCAGAGAAAGGTGGGCCTCAGGTGCAGAGGAGGTGTGTGTGGCTCCAGGGTGGGAGTGGGCTGGCGGGTACAAAGCTGACAGACAGCTGGACTTGGTGCTCCCAGGAGACGCACTCTGCCTGCGCCAGCTCCAGCCCGGGGAGATCGAGCTTCGTCGTCCCGGGAGCGCTCCACGTCTCGCGGCCGCGCAGCCACTCGGTCCTCGTCGCGGGAGAGCAGCCGTGGGGCCAGGGGTCGCGGCCAGCCAGCACGCCCCTCGCCTTCGCCCACAGGTCTGTGGCTGCCCCACCCTGTGGTGGGGAGGCGGGATGGGCTAGCGCCCACAGAAGCCGGTATGCGAGCCAGCCTCCTCCCCACACTGTCTAGGTGGTCGTGCGCCCCGTTTTGACCCCACAGCCTTTGTGAAAGCCAAGGAGAAGAAGCAGAGAGAGATTAGGATGAAGTAAGTCTGTGTCTGTTTCCAACCCCGGCTCTGTGCTTGGTCCGTACTTCATCTCCCACCTGTCACCCACTGACAGTTAATCCTTACCTCCCTTTAACGCCATTATGCTCCCACTTCTCTTGGTGTTCAATCCTGTATCCTCCAGTCCTGGTACTGTTCTAACCTCTAGGATCTCTTAACTCTGGTTTGCTTGGATCTCCTCCCTTGGTCTGCCTCCCCTTGGTGTCCATGTTCCTCCTGCACACTCAGCCCTCTCTCTTGGCCCCCCTCCTGACCTCGTTCTGCTTTCTTATCCCCTCGGGTGCACTGTTTGTTTTTCCTCTCTCACTTGTCCCCACATGACCCCTGGCGGGCCTTGGGTTCTGTGGCTCCCTTCCCGGCACACCTCTAGTCTCTGGATTTCTAGGCAGCAACAGCAGCGGAACCGAATGGGCAGTGGAGGAAGCGGGGACGGTCCGTCCGTCTCCTGGTCTCACCAGGCTCGGTCTGCTACTGCTGTGACAGGCCGAGGGGACGCTGCCAACCGCTCACGGAACCGCAGCTCTTCGGGTAACCCGCTGGAAGAGGCACTGCGGGCGGGCGGTAGGCGGGCCAGGTGACCCGCCGGGCCTAACGACCTCCGTCTCCCTCTAGTGGACAGTTTCCGCAGCCGCTGCTCGTCGGTTAGCTCCTGCAGCGAGCTGGAGGATTTCTCCGAGTCGGTTTCCAGGAGGTAAAACTTGTACTCTGCAGAAACCCTGTCTCGAAAAACCAAAACCAAACCAAACCAAACAAACAAACAAACAAAAAACAAAAAAATCTTGTACTCTGGGGAAGGACTCTCTGGAAAGGGCGCCTGGGCGGGAGGGGGGGAGTGGAAGCAGCCTTTTACACGGCCATTAGATGACAGAGGCCTTAAAACTGCGAAGATGGGTCAGGAGGGAGATAGCAAAGATGCTCAGTAGTCCTTGATTGCCTTCTTTTCTCAGTCGTCGCTGCCGTGGCCGTGGGAAACCATCCAGCACCACACCCTGGAGTGGGTCCAAGACGGTGAGGATCATTTCTGGCTGGGAGAAGGGAAGGGCAGTATTAAGCCATAGGTGACCAACCATCATCTATGATTGTGTTGGCCTGGGGGGACCAGATTGTAGAGAGAACTCTAAAATGACTCTGGAAGCAGGGTGCTTGGGGCCCTGAGACTGGCGGGCAAAAATCTTAGTGGCCACAGTATGTTTCGAGATTTGGATGTAGGATGAAGCTTGGCTGGTAGAATGCCCATCTAGCACAAGGACCCAGGTTCCATATATACTGTGTGTGATGGCACTGGCGGGCCTTGTAACCCAGCATTTGGGTGGAGGCGGGAGGATCCAAAGTTTAAAGCCAACCTTAGCTACAGAGCGAGTTTGGGCTATATGAGATCTTGTGTCTGAAAGAGAGAAAGGAAAAGGGTCTTTTCCTCAAATGATGCCACTCTCTCCCCCTCACGTGTGACCGGGGTGCTTGGCAAGTCTCTCCTGCTTGTGTGTGACCGGGGTGCTTTTGGAGCCTCTCCTGCTTGTGGGTGACTGGAGATGTTTGATGAGCTTCTCTGAGCCTCAGGCTTTACCAGTTCACCCCTTGGAGGGCTCTTGTGTCAGGAGCTCTTGCTACAATGGTGACTTGCAGATCCTTGGGTTCAGAACCCCCATGGGACTTGGGGGATATGAACGGAAGGGCTTGCCTGACCCCTTTTCTGCCTCTTGTCCCCAGAAGTCTACCACCCGAGAGCGCAGCAATCACCAGAGACACCTGACCAGTTCTGGGGGCTGGGTCCCCATCAAAGGTGAGTCTGGGGTTCCATATTTATCCTTTCTTTCCCCCTCTCCATCATCCCAGAACCCTCTGGGGTGGTAATAAGGGCAGTTAATTGGCTCCTTGCTGCTTTAGGCCCTTGATGGTCCCCCACACCCATCCCAGCACACCCACCCTCCTCTGCGTTTCCAGAGTACAGCTCTGACTACCAGGGAGCTGACATGGCTGAAATAGATGCCCGCCTGAAGGCTTTGCAAGAATACATGAACAGACTGGACACGCGGTCATGACCCTGGAGAGGTGGTATCCCAACTTCCCATTCTACCTTCAGGGGGTCTGGTGTGGAGGTGGCGCCCCTCCCATGCTCCACACCTCTCGGTGCTCCTGGAGTCTCAGGTGTGTGAGGACCTGACTCCCCCTCTCTCCCAATAATGCATTCTAGGAGAAGAGGCTCTGTGTATTTTGTAAATAAATGTGGTTGTTCTCCGCCCTTAGCTTATGATTCAAGGGTAGGAAAGGCGTGGGAAGAAATGAGGATGGGCTGATAATGGGGACCTGAAAGTGTGTCTGGCCGGTCTGTGACCAGGAGGCAGGTGGGCACTAGAACTCTCCAGAGGAGTTCAAACAAAGTCGGTATGGCTGGCCATATGGCAGGGTAGCCGTGTCTTGCAGCGTGGTCCACATTGTCTGGTTCTTTTGAACTGCTGTGGGTGATCAGGGGCCTGCTTGGTGTTGATTCCTGGGTTCTTACTTGAGATCTCTAGGTTCTAAGCTGTGATGTTGCCTCTGAGCCAGGGTCTCTGGGGTCTTGATTAATTCAGCATTGGGTCATGTGACACAGGAGCATGGCTGATGCTATTTCTTTATTGGTGGGGTCACTGTGAGGACAGAGGGGTGGGGAGCAGGTGGCAGGAGGGATTCCAGAGTGGCGGCTCCACCGGCCTTACTCGCGGTAGTTCTTCCAGTGTTGGATGACTTCATAGAGCTGGTCGCCTGGGGAGAGTGTGCTCTGCACATCTCGGTGTCCTTTGACCTCATAGTTGGATCTCAGGAAGCCCTGAGCCACCCCATATTCCAGAAGATTCAAGGCGGCACGGAGGGCCCGCTTTGGGGGTACCCGCTCTGCAAGGGGAGGGCAAGATACAGGGAGTTAGACTGGGGCATCTCTGAAGGGCAGAGAGGTAAGGGATGGTTGTGAACTGCCCTCTGCCTCAGTTTCCTCATTCCCATAGGGCTGTGGCAGGTAAAATAGTTAACTTTTGATCAACCACCATAGGGAGCCAGCCCAGCCTGGAGGAGACCATAGCAAGCATCGCCTGCTGTGTTGCTGCTTGGCCCCGACCGTCTCTGCTCACAGGCCCAGGGTCTGGCCCACACAAAAAGCTGTAATCTATTAAACATATCTTTGGGGCCTCAGGAATTAACTGGTTGATTGGAGACAGTCCCTATCCCAGGCTGGCCTGGGACTCCCTGTGTAGCTGAGAAGGATCGGCTTGAACTGATTTTCTACTGCCCCCAGTGTTGGGATGAGTGTGTGCATCCCATGTGGTCCGTGTGGTGCTTGAAGTTGAGCCCAGGGCCGTGTGCATGGTAGGCAGGGACTCTACCAACCAAGCTATAGTTGTAGCCCTGTTTTTTTTTTTTTTTTAGACAGGATCTTATTCTATGGTCTAGGCTGACATCACACTCACAATCTTTTGTTTCCAGCTGAGGGTTATAGCCGTTTACTACTACGCTTGCGTCCTCCCACCCTTAATTTATTATTGATCAGCTGCTCCCAGTGTAGGGTCCCAATGGCCCCATTATCCAAAGAGAACAACGAGGTCATGAGCATATACGTGGCAGAGCCTGTGATTCCCTTCTCCCCACACCACCCCCAGCCCAGGGCGCTGGCTGCTTACCCATGTAGTTGCCCATGAAGGTGATGCCAATAGAAATGGGGTTCCAGGTGGGCCCTGTGTGGTCACCCTTGATGTTCCAGCCTCGGCCTTCGTACACGTGACCATCCTCTCCAATGAGGAAGCTGTGGAGGAGGGGCAGAGCTTGATAAGGGTGGGGGGGGGCCCTGTGTGGTCACCCTTGATGTTCCAGCCTCGGCCTTCGTACACGTGACCATCCTCTCCAATGAGGAAGCTGTGGAGGAGGGGCAGAGCTTGATAAGGGTGGGGGGGCTTCCCCCAACATCCTTCAGTCATCTTCTCCAATACTCAGGCAGCTGCACCCATTTATGGTACCCCGTTTCTTGCCAAGCACAGCTGTGTAAATACTTAACACTTTTTCCTTATCTTTGTAGCAGCTGGTGAGTTGCCACCCCTATTTTACATAGAATCAAAGAGGTAGGTAGGGCCAGCGTCTTAGGTGACACAAATCTTATTGTTATCCACACTACAAACCCAATTGTGTGGGTAAGGTTGGAATTCATTGTTTTCCCAAGCCTCTGAATTCACCTCGTCCCCCATCAAGCCCCTGGGGTTGGCACTACTGCCTTCCCACAGCCCAAATTGATAACCAGGGATGCACTTTGTGCCACTTACTCGCACAAAGTCACAGCCTCAGCAGCCCTGCCCCTCAGAAGTCTGCCTTTGGGCCAGAGGGATAGCTTATCCAGTACAGGCCCTTTGCCAAGCTCAGCAACCGAGTTATGTCTCTGAGACCAATGTCAGACAGGAGCGAACTGACCGACACCTGCAGGTTGCCCTCTGACCTCCATACCGAGTTGTGCCATGTGCCCACCTCAGCTAAGTAAATAAGTGTGAATAAAAGAGAGTTTTCAAGTTAGTTTGTTCTTGTTCCAGCCTGTCTTGGTTCTCAGGGTTCTCGGGTATCAGGATTGTGGCCTCAAGGGCAGAGGCTACTTCTGTGTCTTTGGAAGTTTCCAGTTCTAGCACAGTAGATCTGTGAGCTTCACTCACTGACCAAGTCTCAATGGAGGACGCCCCCCATCCCCAGGACACCTCGGAGTTGGGGCAGCCGCCTGGAGTTGGTTGGAGGCTGGAGGATTCAGCCTCTGAGGTGCTGATGAAGCCCAGGATGATGGAACTAGGAGTCCCAGCCTGTCTGCCACCTAGGAAGCCAGCTCACAGCCTGCCTCGGAGGAGATGGGATCTAGAGGGGACATGGGGATCCAGGGCTAGGCTCAGTCAGCCTAGTGTCTGCAAGGTGCCAGCCTTGGTGAAGGATTCTCTTACGGAAGAGTAGGGGACACTTTGTGTGTGTGAGGCAGAGCCTGTCTCCTGCACAGGGACAAAAGCCCTGTCTCACTTTTGGAAGACACCAGACCATCAGCAGCAGGGTAGAGGTGAGCCATTGGCTGACTCCTGTATCCCCTTTGCACTGTGATGCTCTAGCCACATTGGCGGCACCGCGCTGGGGTGGAGGTGCTGTGGTTTTACAGGGATGCCTGCGAACCTCAGCCACCATCATAATGGGCACAGTCAAGAGCTGGCTCAGTGGTTAAGGGTGCTTGCTGTGCTTATAGAAGACCCGGTTTGATTCCCAACGCCCATATGGTGGCTCACAATCTGTACTCCAACTTCCAGGGGATCCAGTATCTTTTTCTGACCTATGAGGGCTCTTGTACACACTGGTACACAGACTTACACTCAGGCACATACAGAGACACCCCCCCCAACAAAACAACCCAAACCTCCATTTACAGGCAAAGAAAGTAAAGTTCATATAATGTGATTTTGTTTTTCTGTAAGACTGTGGCCCTAGGTCAGTCTTCCCTAGTTCTCACTTCAATTCCCAGCAGCAGCTTTGATGTTGGAGCCTTAGAATGATTAAAATCTCAGGTGGAAAGTCCTGGGGACACCCCCAGGCATCTGACCCTTTGGTTTTGGCAGAGCAGTCGGGTAGGCTGGGAACCAGCATTTCCAGTAAATTCTGCAGGCAGTTTGGCTCTTAGCGTATAGGAGTCACAGGATTCAAATGCTCCTGTTGGAAAAAGACTCAGGTGTAATATAGTCTGTGACACTGAAAAGAAGCCCGTGTGACTGATGGGTGTGTCCCCCAGGCCCATCCACGCAGCCCCAGCTCTCTGGTGGTAAGCCAGAGGGAGCCTACTAACACTTGGGCTAGTCTATGCCTCTCCCCCACCCAGAACCTTCAGTGGGTATTGTCTGACCTCTGTCTTCACCATGACCTTTGGGGTCCCTGCCTCAGGCCTGGTCTTTGATAGAATCTTCTAGCTCTTGCCTCTGTGCTGCACCCCCATTTCCAGCTTCCCTCTGTCTCTCCTAGAGCCACATCAAAGCCACACGAAGCCATCCCTCACCTGGGGATCTGGATTCTGTTACCCTTGCCTACCCTGCCCTCACCCCTTTTTGGAGATAGGATCTTGTTATGAAGCCTGGGCTGTCCTTCAACTCGTAGTAATCCTCCTAGCCTCCCGAGTGCTGGGATTACAGGCATCTCCATGACTAGCACAGGCCAGCCTATTTCCTCTCTCTTAAAAGTGTGTGTGTGTGTGTGTGTGTGTGTGTGTGTGTGTACATCAGAGCAACCATTGGTCCATCAGTAGTCTGTTCTCTCCTACCCAGGTTAGAACTCAGGATGTTAGGCTTGCTGGCAAGTACCTTTACTTGCTGAACCATCTAGAAGTCCTTTTTCTGTGCATCTGTTTCCATTCTGAACGCATCTTTTTCTGTCTTTATGCACACAGGACTATAGTGATATGTTCCTAGCAATGGCCCCATCTGGAACTCTGGCACATGGAAGACATTGGCTCATAGATTTGGGACCATATGTTAGCCAGTTTCCCGACTGTTTGGTATTAGGGACCCCAATCCCACTGGCCTTTGCAGAAAAGGAAGTTGAGCCCAGGGCAACAATTTCCCTATGTAGTCCCCTGCCCTGGGTCTCTGGCAGCAGATATGCCCACTGATGCAAGGGCTTGGTGTGAGGCTCAGTCAGCCTGGCATTGTCCTGGCAAGGTCTGGGCTTTTAGGAAACTGTTTCCTTATGAGCCTATAGGGGTGACACCTTGGTGTGTGTGTGAGGCAAAGCCTGCCTCTTCCCACAGGGAGACACAGATCCAGCATCAGGAGTTGGAACAGTGAGGTCGGCCTCCTCCCACCCACCCTGTACTCACTTGTAGGCCACGTCGCACCAGCCCAGGTTGCTCATGTGGTAATTCTGCACGTTGCGGGCCTGCTGCTCACAGGAGGCCGGGCTGCTGCAGGTGCTGCCTGCCGTGTGCGAGATCACCACATAGCGAACGGGGTGCTGCAGGCGCTGGAAGCACTGAGATGGCCGGGCCTCCCACTCGCTGCGGGGCACCACGAAATTGCAGGAGGTGCCCAGGACCAGGAGGCTAAGGAGAGTCCAGGCAAACAACATGTTAGACATAGTGGACAGCTTCTGGGCTGTGTATGAGTCAGGCCCTGGACCTGTGGAGTTTTATCATCTGGGGCAGGGTGGTGGCATGAAGGGCTTGCTTCACACCTGGGCGGGACTTTCTGGACTTGTCATAGAGGACCTCAGTCTCAGCTTCCTCTTTGGGCAAGGGTGGGACAGCGATGTGGCCTTTGCTCAGATTGTGAGATGGGGGGGGGGGGCAGAAGACAGAAACTTCCTTATCGGGAAGGGCACAGAAGACCAGGCCATCTGTCTTTGTGGTTTTCTGGGATTACCAAGACTTGGCTCTCGGCCCAGCTTTGTGTAACCTTTCAGGAAGTTGCTTAGGTGAGGGGCCCACGGCTTCGGCATAGACTTCCTTTCTGTAGGTGGAGCATAACAAAGGAACCTTTTAAAAATATATGTATGTATGTATTTATATTTGATGGATCTTGTGTAACTTGAATTCACTCTTTAGACAAAGATAACCTTGAACTGTAGCCACTGTGTCTGGCTGCAGATTCCCTTGGGTCGAAGTCTGACGATGCTCAACCCTACAGGCCAAGAGGCTAAGATGTGGAAGCTTTCAGTGGACTCGGAGACTGGACGTTGCTGCCTGAGAAACGGCAGGCAGTAGTGCCTCTTGTCCTGAGTCAGAATCAGACCCAAGCTGCCTGTGCCTGAAACCCAGCCCTCGCCGGTGCCTCAACCACTCTGTGCCTGTTTCTCCAATATGGAGATGGTAGCAAGGTTTCTGACTCCCAGAGTTGATCAGGAATTGTATGAATGGACTGGGTTTTGGCCCCTGAATGTCTGGTACATAGTGTCATCACCACTACTCCCTCAGGTTAGCTCCTGTCTGTGATGTGGTTTGCATGGGTGACCATAGCTGTTCCATTCTGGAGAGAAGGGACTCTGAATGCTGAGGGTCACAGTCACTTCAGGTCACAAGGAACGCCTTCCTGGAGCTTCTGTCATGCCCAGCTCCTATTCCCATACCTCTCCATAACACATGGGGAGATCAGGGCAGACTGCCTGTCTTCCTGTCGTCTTTGCTTACACTCTAAATGATTTTGGGTAGTCCTTCCATGGAGCCTCTCATTCTTCTTCAGGAAGCTTTCTTGCTTTTCTTCGATAAATCTATGTTTACTCTGCTCAAAAGTAAATGATACTTTTTGTCATGCTACAGGTGGTACTCAGGGCCTGTGCATGGAAGGTAAGCACTTTACTGCTGAGCCATACCCCAGCCCCTCACTGGGGGACTCTAGGCAGGGGCTCTACCACTGAGCCACACCCCAGCCCCTTACTGGAGGATTCTAGGCAGGGGCTCTACTGCTGAGCCACACCCCAGCCCCTCATTGGGGGATTCTAGGCAGGGGCTCTACCACTGAGCCACGCCCCAGGCCCTCACTGGGGGATTCTAGGCAGGGGCTCTACCACTGAGCCATGCTCTGTAAACTTAATGTTAAGTTTCTAAGCTCCTGATTTCTTGAGATTCTTCTCTTTGGCATTTCTACAGGGTCCCCATGGGAACAGAGTCGGCCAAGCATGTTCGGTGTGTTCAGGTGTAGCAAGAAAAGAAGGGTTTTGAGGGTGACCGGGCACAGCCGGAGTAAGGGAAGCACAAGCTGTTGGGAATGGTGAGGCATTTGGATTCACTGCAAGGGTCTGAGAAACGACTAAAGAATATTATTCATGTTGGGGATGACCCTCAGAAAAGGCCTGGTCAGATCTGAGATATGGTCTCCCAGGGCCAGAGTACGTGCTGGGAGACCACCGAAGAGTGCACACAGTCCAGGCGGAAGGAGGTAGTGTGAGGTAGAGGGATTAGAAAGAATGGAAGTGGCTCAGTGAGTGAGGTCATGCTCAGTGGGGAATGGAGAGATGGCTCAGTGAGGAAGAGTACATATGGCTGTCCAGAGGGCCTGAGTGCTCACGCACCCACATCAGGGTCTCGTAACCACCTGTCATTCCATTTCCAGGGAATCAGGTTTTTTAATCAGTTGCGCGTGCGCATGGCGCGCGCGCGCGCGCGTGCACACACACACACACACACACACACACACACACACACACAGAAAAGCTAGTGGGGAGAGCCATATGACTTGGTGGTAGACCATACATCATTTCAATCATCCAGTAACTGCTGAGTACTTGTGCCGTCCCTGGTGTGATGAAGAAAATCTGCTTTTTTTTTTTTTCCTTTGGTGTTTTAAGGCAGGGTTTCTCTGTAGCTTTGGAGCCTGTCCTGAAAGTAGCTCTTGTAGATCAGGCTGGCCTCGAACTCACAGAGATCTGCCTGTCTCAGAAAATCTGCTTTTGTTGGGCTTGCTGGTATGTACTAGGGCATACTAGGGTGTGTACTTGGGAGTGTTAAGGAGACAGCAGGATGCACAGAGCCTGGACTCAGGCGAGGGAGAGAAGAGAAGCAGAGGGAGCTGGAGCCCTGGGTCTGTGGGGACCTGCTTGGTGGAGCTGTGTACTGGCACTTGTGCCAAGTCCTGGTGAGCTATGCCTGTTTCAGGGGCTGGCAGAGGGAAGGAAAGGGCACCAGAAAGGCCCTTCTGTTAGCCAGGACACTGACCATCTTTTGAGTAACACCTTGAGCCTAGAAATGGAGAGAATCCGAACTGAGTCTCCTGGGGTCTGGAGACAATATGGTACCAGGTTCACAGAATGCACTTCGTGAGAGACTGCTCCTCCTGCGCGGGGACCGAGGACTTGACTGCAAGTGTGCTCTTAGGAGCTTCGTGCCTGCTGTTCTCTGTTTGAGGCAGAGCATTCCTGTGGAGCATGCTCCTCTCACTGCATCAACCTAGTGGCTTTGAACTCATAGCGATCCTCCTGCCTCTGCCTCCCAAGGGCTCCTTGTTCTCTTGTTTGTTTTTGAGGCAGAATCTCAGGCAGCCTAGACTGACTGGACCGGCTGAGGTTGACCCTGAGCTCCTGATCTTTCTGCCTCTGTCTCTGAGAGGTGGAAGGGAGAGAGAAAGAGGGAGAAGGAGGGGTGGGGAGCAGAAGCAGAAGGACATCCAGGACAGTGTCCAGTGACAGAAGGTAAGGGAAGTAGACATTTCAGGAAGGAAGTAGTCACGCCACCTATGTCACCAAGTTCCAGGGTCACCCTGATGACAAGTGGAAGGGCAGGAAGTTAAAACCAGATCAAAGTGTATTATAAATGATGCCTAGGCCAAGGGCCAGGGGAATTTCTTTCTCTGGGGTTTGTTTAGTGACCCAAGCCTTTTGTCTGTATATATTGGTGGTCAAGGTACAAAGAGCTAATTTCCTAGGCAGCCATTCGGAAACAGAGTCATAGTCGAACCCCGGTCTCACTCCATGCACAACTGATAATTTGTGATGCTGGCTGCAAGTCAGGCACGAATGAGGAGCCACCACACACAGCTCACGACATTCAAAGAAATTTAATTAACAATCATGGTTTTTTAATTTTTTAATTTTTTTATTTTATTTTTTTTTGAGAAAGGGTCTCATTATGTAGCCCTGAACAGATTGGGACTGGCTATGGAGGCAGGCTGGTTTCAGAATAACTGATCAATCAATTAAACCTCTTTTTTTTTTTTTTAAAAGGATTCTCTCTATAGCCCTGGCTGTCCTGAAACCCCATATGTAGATAACCTACCTCAAACTCAGAGATCTGCCTGCCCCTGCCTTCCAAGTGTTGGGATTAAAGGCCTCTGCACCATGACAGCTGGTAATTAAAAAATATTTTTTGATTTTGTGTATGTGCCTGTTTGTGTGGATTCCTGTTTGTGGCTATGGGCATGTGAGTGAGGGTGTCCACCACGGTTAGAGCACTGATCACCTGAATCTAGGAATGTGTTGGAGCCTCTTCACCCCACCACAGCTGAGGATGAGGTGTTACCAATCCTTAAATAAATATAAGGAGGTAAGCAGGATCTTTTTGTACCTCTCTCACTTTTTTTTTTAAACGAGGAAGAGAGGAGGTCTCGTGTAGTACTGGCCTCAAAACTTACTATGTCGGTGAGGATGCCCTTCAATCCATGACCCTCCTCTCCCCATCTCCCACGTACTAGGATTACAGACAGACACATTCACTACCACTTTGGGCTAAGTTAGTTTTTCTTTGTTTGGGTGGGTGGGTTGTTTGTTTTGTTGTTGTTGTTTGGAGTTTTGGTTTGGTTTGGTTTGGTTTTTCAAGACAGGGTTTCTTTGTACTGGAACTAACTCTGTAGACCAGACTGGCCTCAAACTCGGAGATCTGCCTGCCTGCCTCTACCTCCTGAGTTCTGAAGTTGAGGTTATTATGGTTTAGGCTCTTGGTTCAATACCTAGGACCATAAAAACAAAACAAAAATTAAATTTTTTCTATTGTTGTTCTCTTGAAGAGGCTCTGGGTTTCAGTCCCAACACCTACAGTCGGTGGCTCACAACCATCTGTAACTCCAGGTCCTGGCAGTGACACCTGTAACCCTACCTAGGTCCTGACAGTGACACCTGTAACCCCAGGTCCTGGCAGTGACATCTGTAACCCCAGGTCCTGACAGTGCACACCTGTAACCCCAGGTCCCGGCAGTGACACCTGTAACCCCAGGTCCCGGCAGTGACACCTGTAACCCTAGGTCCTGGCAGTGACACCTGTAACTCCAGGTATGTGAGACTGAGTGTGTGGGATCTTGAGTTCAAGGATAACCTGGGAAAAATGGGAAGACCTGCTTCAGATAGGAAAGAGGATTGGCGCTCAGTCTTCATGCTTGCACGGCAACCCTCTTACCAGCTGAGCTGTTTCTCCAGTTCCCATTTTTTTTCTTTTCTTCTTCCCCTTTTTCCCTTCCCGTATCCCTCTACATTTCTTCCTTCTCCTGCGGCATGACTCAGTAGTATGGTACAGTCATGTCTAGAATCCCCCAGTGAGGGGCTGGGGTGTGGCCCAGTGGTAAAGCAGCTGCCTATCATGTCCAAGGCCCTGGGTTTCATGCCCACAGTGTCAGCCTTTTGCAAAAAGCACGAGAACATTAGGTCCAGAGCCATATAAATCAAGCAATGTAGTGCATGCCTGCAATCACAACTCCAGGGAGGCTCACAAATTCAAGGTCATCTGGCTGTGTAGGGAGTTTAAGGCTAGTCTGGGCTATAAGAGACCCTATCTCCAACAAACACATAATGGATTTCCTCTGCCATAAACCACAGCTCTCGCTCAGGAGTTGGCACAGGATGATGGGAGGGGAAAAGCTCATCTTAGCATCAGACTTCTTGCCTAACACCTGGGAAACTTAGATGATAATCAGTAAGTTTTCCTTCCTCCGTGGAAGTCCATGTAGGTCGTTCCCAGGGTGTTTGTACTCATCACCCTCAATAACTCAGGCAATCTCTGTTGAAAAGATCTTTTTAATGATGATTCATGCTGCAACGATGAAAGCTCCAGTGGGGGTTTAAATAAAATGCTGCCAATCCCCAAGTGGCTGCAGCAGGCAGTGGGCCATGAGACCATGCCGCAGGTCCCTGAAGTGGTGCCAGGCAGCAGGCTGCGGGTCCTGAGAGCAGCCAGTCCCAGCAAAGTTCCCCAAGTGGCTGCAATGGACCACAAGGGGCAGTGAGTCCCAGGCAGGGAGCCGCGTGGTAGGTGAGAGACCTTGAAGGAGCAGCCAGTCCCACGAGGAGAGACAGATGGAAGGGCATGGATGGGCATGCCATGAGACCATGCTGCAGGTGGCTGGTCCCAGGAAGGGAGCCACATGGCAGGTGAGAGACAGGGATAGGCACACCATGCTGAGTGAGGTTGGATGTTTATTTAGTGGATTATAGAGGGGGAAGGGAAGAAGAGGAGAGAGAGAGAGAGAGAGAGAGAGAGAGAGAGAGAGAGAGAGAGAGAGAGAAAGAGGAGCCACAACAGCAGCTACCTCTTTCTCTTAAAGGGACAGGACAGGACAGATCATAAGCATTCTTAGATATGCTAAAAATTGTATCCATTGGGAGATGGCTCAGTAGTTGTTGCAGAGGAGCCAGGTTTGGTTCCTAGCACCCACAGCCATTTGTAACCCCAGTTTCAGGGCATCCAATGTTCTCAACTTGGTGGGCACCAGACATACACCTATGTGGTATCTACACTCTTGCAGGCAAAACATCCATACACATTAATTAAAACCAACCAACTAACCAACCAACCGTAGGAATTTTCAGTTGAGGAATATGGAGTCTTTGGATGAACCTGCCAGCAGTTCCTAATTCACACCTACATATCTCCTGTTCAAATCCCATTCCTCCTGTCCCACCATGGGGCTCCTGGATACCCGGCCAGTCGTCACCCTGCTCTCTTCGTACCCAGAGACCACGGAGCTTTTGGGCTTCCCTGTACTCCCCCCCATCCCCCACCACTTCAGAAATGTGGCTTGTGCTGGAGGCTAGCTGCTGCCTGTTGTGGGGAGGTCGTTAGTTTGTTTCCTGGCCATGCGGCAACTCAGACCTCAAATAATCATACAGAAGCCATATTATTTAAATCACTGCTTAGCCCATTAGCTCTAGCTTCTTATTGGCTAACTCTTACATCTTAATTTAACCCATCTCCATTAATTAATCTGTGCATCACCACTAGGTTGTGGCCTACCAGCAAAATTTTGGTGTGTCTGTTTCCCGTGGCTCCATGACTTCTCCCTGACTCCACCTTCTTCCTCCCAGCATTCAGTTTAGTTTTATCCGCCTAGCTAAGTTCTGCCCTGCTATAGGTTCAAAACAGTTTCTTTATTCATTAATGGTAATCACAGCATACAGAGGGGAATCCCATATCAACTGTCAGAACAAGGAACTTGTCCACGCAGGGTCTTAGGGTCCTGGGTCTGACTCAGAAGCGGGGGTAAACACAGCTCCTGGCTCTTAAGATAATCTTTACTTTTTGGGGGAGACTCAGGCTTGGGCTGAGGGCAGTGTTGATGTGAATAACATCCTGTATTTTTTACTGAGCACTTACCGTGGGCTCCACCCTCCTGTTGGGGGAGCCAGGGCTCCAAACGAGAGGTTTCTGTCTTTACAGATCCTAGTGGGTGTGAAAAGAAGTAAATAAAAAGCAGTAACTTTTTTTTAATTTATTTATTTCTTTATTAATAGTAACTGTTTTAAGAAGAAATAAATTTCACACAATTACTCTGGTTGTTGGGAAGTTTCAGGCTTTCGTTAAGCACCATTGGCTTTGACTTCTGTTTGGGATATCATGAAGGGTGGGGATGGTGTGGGTGAGCGTTTGATGGGCTGGGTTCCCACAGTTCCCCCCTTTGTCCACCAGATGGCGCCATTACCCCATTCTCCAGGCAAAAGCAGCGGCTGAACTCTGAAGGGTTTCTTTTTTTTTTTTTAAATATTTATTTATTTATT